CTGAGGTGTTTGAGCTCCATTGGAGGTCTGTGTCTATGTGCACACCCAGGAACTTGAAGCTGGGCACCTTTTCCAGGCCCTCCCTGTTGATGCTGACAGTCTGCAGCTCTGACTTCCTCCTTCTAAAGTCGACTACCTGCTCTTTTGTCTTGGTGGTCCAGATTGTTGTCTGCACACCAATCAATCTGACAGCCTCTGAAACGCAGCTCTGTATGCCGTCTCGTCTCCCCACCACGGTGGTATCATCTGCAAACTTAGTGACTGTGTTGTCTGGGTGGGTACTGATACAGTCATGTGTGTACAGAGTGTACAGTAGGGGACTCAGTACACAGCCTTGTGGAGAGCTGGTGTTAAGGCTGAGTGCTGAGGAAAGATGAGGCCCCATTGTATGTATGTATATACTTACCTACTTTTCAAGAAAAACATTCAACATTCACACTTTCCCTCATTCACAGTAGTGCTGTGCTACACAGTTTGTTATCAGTCCAATACCAAGTAAACACAGGGCCAGTATTGCCCATATCAGTGCCAATAATTTGAAGTTATTCAGGCAGCTAATTGGGGGAGAGTAGTGTGCAATAACTTTTGAGATGAATTCTCAATTGTTTTAAAATGTTGAATTCTGAACACATTTTAATCACCACTTTATCACAGTGATTATTACTTTCTACAATAGTTAGTTATCACAAGTAAACACACCTTTCAGCTTTTCCTGTGTTTTGAAACTGGGTTTTTGGAGACCTGGAATGTAATTTATTCTGTCTCTAAGGCACAAAAAGGTTTGGACATTTTTCATAGTTTATGTTTGAGGTTTACTTTTTTAGAAAGAAATAATTAACACAGTTCAGCGGGCTACATACTGAACATGAAGGATAAAAGCAAAGTATCAATCCAATGGTGCTAGTATCGATCCGATACCAATACTAGTGTTGGTATTGATACTATCGCTATTTGGATCGATCTGCACACCTCTAGTTTTTATTGTAGTGACTTCAAACAAAGTCCTTGCCATTGTGGGGAGGCTGAGAGCCACGACCACTCCTCCGTGCCTTGAAGACCTCTAGGGTATCCTGGGGGTCGCTGCCTTCCACCATTTGGTACAGAGTAACTCCTGGGGCCGAGGGGAGCAGTGGAGGTGCCGGAGAGGAACCTGACTAAGGCATCTAACACTGCAGTCTTTCAGTGTGTTGCTGCTGCTGTTTCTGCTCTCTGACTCTC